TACCTTGTGTTCAATTTCTCCTTTTTCTCTCTTAGGTGGTTCTGGCTATGCAATGATCTCTATAAATCTTTCAACTTGAACTTCTTTTTTGGACTCACCCTATCATCACACTACTTACTAATACCCGGGATTGGGATTCTTTTCTTGATTTTCTTTGTGATGGTCATTGGGCTAATGTTTTTTCTCTCACTAATAAATGGGCCTCATACGTAGCCTCCAGAATTCGGGCAGGAATTAAAGTTAAGCCTCAATCTACTCAATGGTTTTCACCTCCTTGTGCAGCTGCTTTATCTAATCATAATCATATTTTCATCTTTTTTTTAGTAAAAGAACAACTCTTTCAAGAATAAACAGCTATTTATTATTCCAAATAATAATTGTAAAAAAGTACTGTCTAAAGCTAAGCTCCATTATTCTCAGTTCAATAAATCTCAAATCTTATATCAGAAGTTAAGCTCTAGTGACTTTTAAAAAAACTTTGACAGCGCCATTAAAAAGGGTAGGTCTAACACTCTATCTCTCATTCATTGAACTGATCTTATTACCACACCAAAGGATAAGGCAGAACTATTTGCAAAGAACCTTTATTCTAATTCAACACTTGAAACTAATGGCTAATATTCCTGGGATTCCAGTTAAAATAATTAACCCATCATTAGACATTCAAATCACTCCAGCTTCTGTTGCTAAAGTTATGTCTCAATTAAACTCTTCTACTGCTTGTGGTCCAGAAAACATTTATGTTATAGTCTTACAAAATTATTCTCCAGAATTCTCTTCAATTCTCTCTAAACTATTTAATAAGTCCTTGACTGAATCTTGCTTTCTTGCCTGTTGAAAATGGCACATGTGGTTCAAGTTTTCAAAAACTCTGGAGAATGTTCTGACCCCTCCAACTATCGTTCTATCGTTCTATTCTGTTATTAGCAAGATCTTTGAGTATTTGATAAACAAACTTCTCACATCCTATCTTGAGTCAAATAACTTACTGTCAGAAAATCAATAGAGTTTTGGATTTTCTTGCTCTTGCTAACTGCTGTGACTGAAAGATTTTATTGTGCATTAGACGTAAGCGGTGAGGCTAGGGCTATTGCTCTTGACAAAAGCTAAAGCTTTCAACAAAGTTTAGCATGCTAGTCTTCTCCACAAGCTTGCTTTATATGGTGTATCTGGGAAAGTTTTTGAGATTATCAAAGCGTTTCTTTCAAACTGCTTTATTAAAGTCATCCTAAATGCCATCACTCTTCTTCATTTTCAGTAACTTCTGGGGTATCTTAAGGTTCTATCTGTGGTACTGTTTTGTTTTTTATCTACATTAATGATCTTCCCAACAACCTTACATCTAAAGTAGCTCTTTTTGCTGATGACTCAACTTTGTAATCCTGTCTTGACTAAAAGTCTTCAATTTTTAAACGCTTATAACAGGCAGCTTATCTTGAATCTGATCTCACTTCTGTAATAGATTGGGAGATGCATTGGCTTGTAAATTTTAAATTTTGTTAGAGTTAAACTACACTGCAAACAACATTCACAATACTGATGACATTCCTATATTAATAATTGGCAACCCTCTCAAATCATATACAGAAGATGATATAATACTCTTCTTTATGTTTTTTTGGGTTACCGTTCACTACTGACCTTCACAGAAACCATATATATAATTGCTTGCTTTTTTACTATATTTTCTTATTCAAGATTCCATTCCCTACCTCTACAAATCTCTTATTTATCCCTGTATAGAATACTGCTGTCATATTTGGGCTGGTTCTTCTAATGATGCTTTTTCTCTACTAAACAAGGTCAAAAAAGGCTTTGTAAACATAGTTTAACTGCTCTATCTGCTAAACATGAGCCTCTTTCCTATTGTTGTAAAGTTACATCTCTTACTCTTTTCTAGAAATATTATCATGGTTGCTGCTCAAAGGAACTATCATTCTTAGTTCCATCAACTAAAACTCATTTTCGCTTTACTTGTCATTCAGCAAAGTCTCATTTGCTAACTGTATCTGTCCCTGCCTGCTCTAAAACCTTTTATAATTCTCTCTCTCATCTTAATGTTTTCCTGGCTCATATAACCTACAACTTTTAAAGTCTTCTGTCAACTGTTTCCTTGCTCTATAACTCTATTATTTTTTATTTTTTTTCCTAGTAACTCCCAACATAATATTGGTTGCTTGCAGCCTTGTTGGGAGTGAATCAAAATAAATAAATAAATAAAAAAGAGAAAAAAATATATATTTTTTTCTACGCCTTCTATGTGGGCATGATCATGCTAAACACCTAAACAACCTTGGTTACTTAACTTTGCTTAATAAAGTTATTTTTCACCTAAATTCTTCTGCTGCTTGTCTACTTTGTAAACTATTTAACAAATGCCTAATTAAATCCTGTTTTCTTGCCTGCTGCAAAATACACTCAAGCCAACATGTGGAAAATTTATGGTTCAAATTATTAAAAATTTGGAACCGCTTATTTTCCTCTAAATGGCAACCTTCCTTATTAACGGGTACTACAACAACCCTGTCATAGTCGTACAAAAAAATTATCCAGAACTCTCTTTTAACTAATTAATAAATGCTTGACTGAGTCTTGTTTTCCTGCCTGCTGGAAAATGGCATCTGTGGTTCTAATTTTCAAAAACTCAGGAGTACATACTGACCCCTTTAACTATCGTTCTATCAGCCTACTTTCTATCATAACAGAAATTTTCTATTGCACATTTTATGGAAGGCAAGGGCTAATGCTCATTACATGTTAAAGGCTTTTCCTGGCTTCTCATTTTTCTCTTCCATTTGGCTCTCTTTATGTGGTGTGTCAAGATAAGTTTTTTTAATCGTCAAAACATTTCATTTTCATTTCATTTTAATTCCAGTGTTACATTAATTCCAACTTTAATTTGGTGCACTACACTCTCCTCCATTTCTAAAATGGGACACTACAAGGCTCCATCTTTGTTCCTATGTTATTTTTCATCTACATGAAAATTAACATAGGAACAAAATTGTGAGTAATCTATGTACTAAACTATTTATCTAGTCTTGAAAAAAAATTACTTTTTTATTGCTTAAAGTCAAATCTTTTTTTCCACTTTGTTACTTAGAATTTAATACTCTACCTATATAAATCTAAAAATAGATTAGGCATACTATAGCTATCAAGCTTAAGCCTCTACACCATCATCTGATTGATTGCTACCATTACTATCTTTATTGCTGGTCAAGCAAGCCTTCATATCTAGCGCCATCAACCTAACTCCACAAACATTGTGTGATTCGACATTGAGCATAGTCATATCCTTTTATTGTAAATGTTCCTTTATGTTGAAAATACTATTGCTTATCTAGTTTTTTTCCCTCAAACATCTATACTTTGAAATGTTCTTTTGTCTTTGTGTTTTCCTGACTCATACAGTTCAGAGTTATTTAATCTTCTGTAAACTTCTTTTACTTTAACAATCTTCTTTTCTTTCTGTTAATTCCTAACTTGAATAGTTTTGCACTTATAAATGGTTTGCACCCACTATCAGGAACAAATTTGTTTTAGGTCAGCATTTAGCAATGCTGAACTAACTGCTAACCTAAAAGTGTTTAAGGTCAGCAAAAAAAAAGGTGAAAAATGTAAATAGTAAACCTTTAATAGCTTATTTTATTCTTCCTCTAATCTTACCCTTGATGTTGGCATTTGGCAATGGAAATACATCTACAGGAAAGTTAAAACTGTTGCTCTTCTTAACATATTAAATAAAACATACATACAATATATACATACTAGAAATTTCTGAGAAGCATTGTTACTAACTACATAAAACATTAATAGAGAAAAGAGAAAAAAAAGTTCAAGCCCTTGGAATTAGGTTGGCATTTGGCAATGCTGACCTAACTGCTGAGCTAAAAGTGTTTATAGTCAGCAAAATGTAACTGACCTTGAATAATACATATGTATACATTTATATATATATATATATATATATATATATATATATATATATATATATATATATATATATATATATATACATATATATATATATATATATATATATATATATATATATATATATATATATATATATATATATATATATATATATATATATATATATATATATATATATATATATATATATATATACAGTGCTTGAAGTGAGGCAGGATATGGCAGGATGCTATCCCGTCACCTTTTTATAAAGTATATACCATCCCGGCACTTTTTTATAAATCTCTATATATAACAATGATATATATATATATATATATATAACAATGATATATATATATATATATATAACAATGACATATATATATATATATATATATATATATATATATATATATATACATATATATATATATACATATATATATATATATATATATATATATATATATATATATATATATATATATATATATATATATATATATATATATATATATATATATATATATGTATATATATGTATATATATATATATATATATATATATATGTATATATATATATATATATATATATATATATATATATATATATATATATATATATATATATATATATATATATATATATATATATATATATATATATATATATATATATATATATACAGTGCTTGAAGTGGAGAAAAAAAAGTAACGGGATGGTATTCGGTAAATTAAAAATACCATCCCGTTACTTTTTTTTCTCCACTTCAAGCACTGTATATATATATATATATATATATATATATATATATATATATATATATATATATATATATATATATATATATATATATATATATATACATATATATATATATACATACATACATATATATATATATATATATATATATATATATATATATATATATATATATATATATATATATATATATATATATATATATATATATATATATATATATATATATATATATATATATATAATTCATTCTTTCTTTTAAATTTACTTCAAATATCTTCCTTCATTTAATTGAAAATAAAAAAAACATACTTGTTCTTTATAGTATTTTATTGCGTGTTGTGGTGAAAATTTTGCATAGAAGTCACCTAACTTTTCACAAAGAGAAACCAAATCATTCCTTTTTAAAGATTCTTTCTCATTATACTTTCGAGTCAATTGCAATCCTAATATGGCTAAAAATATAATACTTTGATAAATATTTCCATAATATAAATATACTTATTGTTACTGTTAATAAATACCATAAATCTTATAAGCATCATAAATCTTGATATTTTACACATGGTATTTTTATTAGATGGAAAACACACTTGGCATTTTTGGTGGAGGGGAAACACACTTAACAATTTTGCTGAAGGGAATACACACTTTTTTAATCTAATACAAACATAATATTTTAATCTAATACAAACAATATAAGACATATTAATAACATACTATTTTTATACACAAATATATATCCATATTTATATATTCATATATGTTAATATATGAATATATATGGATATATATTTTGAACTTACATAAATAAATTAATTTTTACAGCTACTTTCTAGTATATAAGAAGTTGAAATAAATAACTTTTTAATAAAAAATATCATGCAGCAGGCTTGTTTGGGAAGCGGATGCGATCGCACTCGATAATTGACAACAGAAATAATATTTAGTTGCGAAAAACCGGCCAGATTTTTCAGTCGTTTTGAGAACATTTCAAAAACAAACAAAAAAGTGCATTAAGATTAACTGGACCGATGAGAGACAGTTAAAAAAAGAAAATAGTTTTTAATGCGAAAATACTTTACGCAAAATAAATACTATTAGAGCAAATATTTGTGAAACGTCGCTCTTTTATAATTTTTTTTTAAAAATTAAGTGACATTTTTTATATCAAGTAACAACTTACTACTAATGATTGTTTAATAAGGAAACAAATGTTCTTTGATTTACTTATGTCTTATTTCCAGTGTTGGATTGGGGAGATGGGGAGGGGAGAGGGAGTAGAAGGGCTATAGCCTCCGGACTCACAATGTTAGGGGCCGCAAAATAGTCAAGAGAATGATTCGGTATTTTTTTTTGACATTTTTACGCTGTGTCATAAAAAAGGCTACCAAAATAATGCAGCCCCTGAAAAGTCCAACAAGATTCAACCAATAAAACTAACACTAGATTTATTTATAAATAAAAAAGTTTTTTCAATAACTGTTTTATGCTTTGCGTAGTTTGAAAAGTTTAACACATTTGAAACAATTCTTCTTAGTAAGATGAACAAATGAATTAGTTAAATCATTTAGTTACTGTAGAAATTCTAAATAGAATATCATTCTAAATAGAATATCATTCAATAGAATTCTAAATAGAATATCATTCAATAGAATATCATTCGAAATAGAAATCAACTAAAAACGTTAAACTACTATGTGAGGAGGAAGCGGAACTGCTTCACAATAACACTGATGATGTTTAGTGAGTGGGCTTTACAACTTTAATTAGTATTTACAACAGAAAAAAATAACTTTAAGTTTAAGTATAACGAGTTTGTAAGAATGGCTGAAGCAAAAATAATTGAAGTTAGTAAACCAATTTAAAATATTTTTAACAATGAGATTGTTTATAAAGAACTAATTAGTACATAATAATCTTAATAATAATAATACATAAAAATAATAATAATGAAGTTATAATATATAAGAATGATGGAATTGATAACATAATGAAAATCTAAATTATGTTAAAGTAAACATTGTGGTCCATTAGTTCATTCATAGTTCGGAAAAAAGATTTTTAACATTTTTCAATGCTTACAAGATGTATTAGGAGATACATTGTGAGCTTTGTAACCTAACAGAAAAATATATATATATACAGGGTGACCACTCAAATTTGAAAATGAAATTCCATGACTTTTCTATGACTCTTCATAAACTTTTATGATAAACCACTAACAAGTAAATTACTCAGTACTTGTCATGCACTAAGCATTTGCAACTTAGTCATTATAAAACATGCAAACCAAAAACTAATTGGTAGAAAGTTCTAAAATCATGTCTGAAAAAACCTTTTTTCTTTTACTTCTATAACTTATTACTTTGATAATCTATAACTTACACTGCAAAAATATCTTTTTCAAAAAGGACTTTAACTAGACATACTAATACATTTCTTTGCATCTAAAAATATCACAAGCAGAAAAAAATAAAGATTAATTTCAAAAGTGCCATGAATTTCCCATGACTTTCGATGAAAGTGTAGGAATTCCATGATTTTTTCCATGACCAAATAAATACCCATGACATTTCCATGATTTCCATGACCGGTAGGCACCATGTATATAAAACGAACAAATACAAACAATTTAAGATGGTTTCATCATACAAAAAAATATTAAATCTATGCAGTAAGTACTTCTTGAAATTGAGGAAAACTTTGGTTTAAAACAATTCAATCACAAATGTCAATTCATATATTACATCATTTGCTCAGTTTAATTTCAAAAACAAAAAACTGAGAAATTAAATCAAAACAAATTTTTATCATATTAATGTGTATAAGGTGTATATTAAGGCAGTGAAGAACCCAGAGTTTATTTAGGGATACCTTTTTTTTTTGGTAACGTTGGGGGGAGTAGGGGTGGGGGAAGGGGTGGTGAATGTGGTGGTGGTGGGTTATGTTGTTGAGTTTTCTCCCCCTCTGTCTCTCCTCCTCCCCTAGTTAAAACTGGTTCCGCAACAATGATTTTTAATTATCATTTTTTCAATCATTATTTTAATCATTTGTTTTTATCTTGTTTAGTTTTATCCTAAGATAAGGAGTTGATTTAAAGACATTTTTTTGAATACATGAATTTACCGGTGGACAATGTTACTTTAGTTACGATAAGAAAACTATTTTACTTAAGACTTTAATAAACGCTTTTGTTGCAAATACTATGTTGTTTGTACATAATTATTGAAAATTGTTAAAGTATTTTAAACATTTATTAACTATATTTTGGAAAATTTAATTTATTAATATTATTATAGTTAAACATAATTTATTATAGTTATTAATGTTTTAAATAATCAGTGATTAAACTTTTAAATACTTTAAACAATTTTTAATTAATATATACATTACATACATATTTACATATTTTAAATCGCATAATATTTGTAAAATTGACAAAATTGTTTTATGTCTTGTATTCGAATAATTATCTGAACAAAAACCATAAACAACTATTTTCAAATCATAACTACTATTTTCATTTGAAAATTTTGATTTAAATATTAGCAAATCTGTTCATTTAACTTTTATAAATTGTTAATAATTTTTAAAGTGATTTTAAGATTTTAAGCCTTTTGAATTAAAGATAATTAAAGATATATATTTATAGATGTATCTATTATATTTAAAAAAATAAATAACATTTTTTTAATCATTTGGTATAATTAAACAAAATACGTTTAATAAATAAGTTTACTATGGGTTATTTTAAACAGATCTTTTATTTAAGTTACTAAAATCGTTATTTTTATTATTTTAAAAGTCAAAAAAGAATATAGAAAAGAAGCAAAACTTTCTGAAAAGTTTACATTCAATTGGAAGAGAACTGCTTCAATATATCTAGACTGAAAGCTCCCTGGCATCTTGATGGATCTTGTGACATTCAACACATTTTACATTTATACTTGCTTAAGCAGATAATCTTTGCGTAATCAGAAAAGATTTTGTCGAAGCATTGTACAGTACACTTTCCACTAAACCATTTATCCATTTAAATGTGTTATGATTTAAAAAGTGCTTTTTCTCTAGACTTTGCACCATAGCAATCGAGCAATGTTAACTTTTAGCAAAATTGAGCAAATATTTTTTGATAATCTATTAGCATCTTTGATAAGATTAAACACGAGTAAGTTATAAGAGTGAGTTGAAATAGCTAAAGATCTCTTTACTATTCTAGCAATTCAATAATTTTTATCTTGAGTTTGAATCTTAAATTTGAAAATTAAATTTATTAATTAATGATAAACAGTTATTAAACTTGTTTAAAAAATGTTTGGCAGATCAACAAAATAAGGAACTAAGTTAAGAAAGTAATAATAAGTAATTAAATAAAAAAAAAAAAAAAAAAAAAAAAAAAAAAAAAAAAAACAGATTCAACTAATTACTATTTAAGTAATGTTTTAAATTTTAAAATTTCATTTTTTTTTTTTAATTAATTTTAAAATATTTAGTGTAATATTCTAATAAATTATTAGTTTTATTTTATCATTATTTTTTTCTTTTTCTTCAACCACAAACCTGAGAGTATATCATTAGAGAGGGGACCTAAATCTATATCTAAATTTAGTACCAACAGTAACAATAATATATTTTAATATCTTATAATTTAATATAATTTGATTGAACTAGTTAAAATTTTAACTGCATGCGTTTGATCAAGCAATAGACAAAATCTAAAAAAAAAACAATAATCCTGGAAGAAATCCTAATCAATCCTAATCTTGCTTTTAATCCTAATCATTCCTGGAAGTGCAAAGAGCAGTGTAAAAATAGTATTATGAGTAAAACCTTCCCTAGAAAAGTTTATTAGCATATTTCTGAAGTATAAATTTAAAAAAAAAATAATTTAAAATGATTAAATGAAATGGTAAAAGCAAAATATTACTAAAAATTATTAAAAACAATTACATGCATTAAAATTACCTAATTTAAGTCCTTTTAAAGCTTCTTTATTATTTGACATGGATGAGTAAACTTGCTTAAATATCTGAATTGCTCGTTCAAACTCACTTAGTTGTAAGAAAACCTTTAAAGAATATTTTTAATTATTATCACTAAAATATGCTTTCAAAACCTTTTCAAGTTATTATATATCATCAAAACCTGAGAATAATAAAACTGACCTGAGCTAGAAGTAACAGTGCATCTAATTCCAATGCTTTGCTATGTATATCTTTAGCAGTTGAAAGAGATTGCTTGACATGATGCAAAGCTTTCTCCATATTGTTACTCTTAAAATAAAGACCAGCAAGACTGAAGTGACAGCGATAAATGTCTTCTGGTAGTTTTTGTTCTCTAAAATAAATTTAAATAAGTGTAATCATTTTCTTCTGGTAGTTTTTGTTCTTTAAAATAAATTCAAATAATAAGGGCAATCATTTTTGTTGTCTTGCGTTTTGTCAATTGATTATTATTTGTCAATAATATTCAATTGTTAAGATTAAATATTATAATGATGAAACTTTGTTCTTAAAGTTCTTGAACCAAAACCATTAAATTGAAAGGTTTCACTAGTGACACTAGAACTAGGGGAACAATTACTAAAAATCATATAACTTTAAAACAAAAGTGTTTTATTTTGAATCCTATTGTCTTAACTTAAAAAAATGAAATAAACAGATAGTTGTTAACAAACAGATAATGGCTAGGCCAAAGTAGGTAAAACCTTAACTGCAAGACCCTGAAGCACTATCCATTGTGTTTGTTGAGAAAAAATAAAAAATAAAAGGCATTAAATAAAAAAAATAAAAAATAAAAGGCTCTTCGAAGTTTTAACAAAAAACCTCAAGAGATTTTTGTTAAAAGGTTTAGAAAAGTCATAAAAATTTAGTTAAAAAACTTTTTACCAAAAAATATTAGAAAGCTTATGTATGAAACTTATTTAGAAAAGGCATTTAGTAAAAAAAACTTTTTATCAATATTTAGTAAAAAAACTTTTTATCAAAAAATATGCTTATGTATCAAATTTATTTACCTTGCAATAATAAGTGCTTTGCTAACAAACTTAAGTGAATCTTTACTATTTTCTTTTTTATCATAAACATTCCCAAGATTTAAATATAAACGAGCCCTGATTTCAAGCATTTCTTTCTCAGAAACAACTCCATACAGTTTATCACAAAGCTCGAGACTTTCAAGAAATAATTTCAATGAAGATTCTAAACATCTATTTGTTTCTTCCTGTGATGACGTGCAATCAGTTTGTATAAAATATGTGCGTCCTAATGTTGCTAGTGCTCTTTGTTGCTCAAGAGTGTTGTTATTATACTTTGCTATCTAAACATTTAACATAAAAATAATTAAAATATAAAAAAGTATATAAATTAGAAGATACCTCATATTTATGTGGCATTTTCAGATTTATCTTGTCATTTTGTCAAACTTATCTTATCATTCAGATTCAGTAATTAATAAAAGTAATAAGAGCTGAAACTTTAAGTTTAATATTCCAGTTGCCAGGACAACTGTTTTTTATCCCAATATTCTACTGCAACTTTTAATCTAATATATCTTTAAATAATGTTATTATATAATATAAATAACTGATGAATAACATAATATTTTTTGTTTCACAAAATGGTAGATAATGAATTTTTGAAACTGTAAAAATCTGTAGTTATTGCGGAAACTGAAATTATTATAAATATTTTAAATATTAAACTCTTATTATTTATAAGAAGTTAATATTTAAAATTATTATAAATTGTTTATAATACAAAAAATATTATAAAGTATTTATATTTATACAAATTTAAAATATTTATTAAGTTTTTTTGTTTATATTATTACTGTGATATTTTTTTCAACTAATTAAATATTAATTATAACTATAATTAATATTTAATTAGTTGAAATTAATTATAACTATATAAAACAGCAGATAAACTAAACTAAACAGCAAATAAACTAAACTAAACAGCAGATAAACAGCAGATAAACTAAACTAAACAGCAGATAAACATTTTTTTCACATGTAAAAAACTCTACACAGTAGGCTTAAAAGAAATTAATAAAATATAATCTTTAATAAATATAATAAAATATATGACTTTAGATAAATCCTAGAAAATTTGTTAGTAAGAATTTTTGTACTGGATATAGAAAAATAAAAAAATTAAATATTCATATAATTATGTGAACTTTAAATTTGGGCTATTTTAACAACTTAGTATTTTTTGATATTTTTTTGTTTGTTTATAATTTAAGTTTAAAAAGTGTTTAAATTGCAATTGTTAAATTTAATTTGTTGATAGAAAAAACATAATTTGTTTGACTTAACAAAAAATATAGCTATACTTTTGTTGTTGTTGTTGTTGTAATGATATTTTAAAAGTTTAATGTAATACAAATTATGAAAGGCTATGAAGTATTGCATCGTATCACTTCAATAAATTTATAAGAATTAATCCTTTTTGAACAACTTTATTTAGTAAATTAGTAACTCATTTTGGAGCAAAATTAATAAATTCAGTAACTTATTGTGGAGTCCATCAACTTTTATGTAGACAAAAGAAAATCAGTTTGAATGGTTACTTTAAATAAAAACTTAGATTTTTTGGAAACTAATGATTAGGGAGCAAATATTTCCTGTTCTCCTGTGGGAGTAAGATAAATCAAGCAACAAGAAAAGATAAACTATCTGATGAATTATTTGAACCAGCCAAACAAATGAAAGGTTCATATGCATCAAATTCTTCAGATGAAGAAGATTATTCCATGTAGAAAATGCTTTAAAAGACTAGTTTTACAAGACTTATTTAGTTAGAAAAGTTACAAAGTAAATTGGAAGAAAATTATCAACAACTGACTACTAAATCCTGCTATGAAATATGGAAACTATTTTTCACTGATATTAGAAGAGTTATATACTAGAGAATGATGCTAATTTTGATGTTTCTGTCAATGTTATCACTGGAGCTTAGTGCCAGACATCACTTTTTTACATTGGTATCTTGCAATAACAAAATAAATTTGTTCTTAAGACAAGTATATTTAAAAAAAAATCATCAAGATAAAAAAAAAATAATAATTAAAACCAGAAACAAAAGATAAGAAAGTTAAAATAGTAAATAAATTTTTATTTAAAATTTTTATTTTTAGCACTTATTAAGATCTATATTAAATATTTAAAATAATTCAGTTGCACCATATATACTGCTGTTGTGACACATGTGGTAGTTGGTTTTTAATTTATAACTACTTGTGTTTAGACCATGACTTCTACTAAATTTATAATTAATGTTTTATTGACAATGACTAATCATTCTATACCAAACTACAGGTTGAGTAAGACAACTTAAGACCATTGAGAAAAAATAAAAGCAGGTAGAGTGAGACAACTTAAAAACATTAAGAAAAAATAAAAGCAGGTAGAGTGAGACAACTTAAAAACATTAAGAAAAAATAAAAGCAGGTAGAGTGAAACAACTTAAAAACATTAAGAAAAAATAAAAGCAGGTAGAGTGAGACAACTTAAAAACATTAAGAAAAAATAAAAGCAGGTAGAGTGAAACAACTTAAAACCATTGAGAAAAAAGAAAAGCATCTTTGGCTACTTGAATCCATTAAATTACAAAGAAGGTTCAATTATGAGTGGTGAGGCATCAGCTCTAAGGCCATCACAAAGCAAATAATAAAATGAATCTCAAACCAGCCTTAAGGTAGTAAGTAGTTTGATAATATGGTAAGTCTGAAGAAGAGGTACAAGATAATTGTTTTAAGACAAGATAAAAATCAAGGAGTGAAGATAGGTGATTAGGTTTGTCTGCAAAAAACACTGAGTTAACTACTTGAGTTAATTGAATTAAGGAGAAAACGAAATTACATTAAAAACAGAAACTTATTTTTTTCAATAAATTTTAAGTATAAACAGAAAAATTATTAAAAATTAATATATTACTTTACATATAAATATATATTTAAAAGAAATATATATTTGCAAACTATCAAAGAACTATATATTTTCTTCTTTATTAATAAGTATAATCCATTCACTTTAATAAAATTTCATAGATAATTAAAAAAAAAAAAAAAAAAAAGAAGAAAGTAAGGAGTAACTTTTTGAGAAAGAAATTGTAACTTCTAAGGTTATTTAAACGAGGATTTTTTATTCAAGGATCTTTAAGGCTTTTGCAGAGGAGTGGGAAACCTGGCTAAGCATGTGGCTAATGAAGCCGTTACAAATCAAAGGATAACAACCATTAAGACTGAGATCAGAAGATGAATAAGATGAATTCAATCGAGTTTCATAATTTGCAAGTAGGTGAATTTTGCAAGATTTAACAAACGAATAGTTACTCCAAAAATCATGAATACTTTAAAAACATAAATTGAACTAATTCGGTTTTTATGTTCATTATTTTGAGGTACTTGTCATATTTTAATTTTATTAGAGAAATTGGATCAACTATGAAAAGGGGATGGCACCCCTAGCAATAATCATGCAGTTGTTTAAATTCTGCTAATAAACCTAAAGTCGTAACAAAGCGCTCCTTATGTAACCTCAACAATTTGCACCAAAAGCACTTAAGGGGCAACTGTGGCAACAATTATGTGCATTTATGCTAATTTATGTGCATCATGGCACAGTTAGTACTATAATATTTTACAGCTGTTGATGGAATCAATAGCTGATCAAATGTAAAGAACCAATCCCAATGAGATTGATTCATTTGAAACCAATGAGAGCTTCCAAAAAGTTTGGGAAACTTACTACTAACTGGCCTTAGAATCATTAAACTGAGTTTTAGAGCTGTACCCTCAATAAAATATAACAGAAAAAGTTAAAACAAAGAGTTTAAAAAGAGGTACAAGTAAAAACCATGAGTAGATAATCTCAGTGGAATATAAAGTTGCTAAAGGTTATTCTAAAAAAGAAAAACAGGACATGAATGTGATGAAGTTAAATTTCATTAATATATGAATTTCTTAGAAGATCCAGAAAATGAGGAACAAAATAAAATAAAAATTTCAAAAATTTTATCTACTTTTTTTGTTCATTACTTTTAAAATTAATTGTATGATTATTTTTTGCAATTTTTTGTTTTAATGAACTGCATATTTTTGGTTTAGTGAATTTTAGCTTTTAATTAAATTATTTTTAAATGTAAAAAAAACTTAATAATGTAAAAATCATTATTATTTAGATATTATAAAAATATTGTTTTTATTTCAATATTTGCAGCAGGCCTTGACATGAAGAAAATTGTCTAGCGCGATGTTTTGTGGCTGTAAAACTCAAATATTTTCTTAGAGAGCGTGATTATTTGTGATTGTCATAGAGTAATCGGGAGCGATTATTTATTTTTGGATATGGGTGTTCCGCACAATTTTATTAAGTCTTAATTTGTTATACAGTGTTCTTTAGACAATAAATGTTTTAAAATTATTATTTAGCAACGCACTGCCTGACAAAACGTTTAAAATTCTCTCAACCTCCTAAATACTTTTTTATTATTTGATCGCATCTGATTGTGTTTTTTTTTCCCACCTAGTTCTTATTGATCTTGTTTTATAGAATAAACTTATCTTTTATGCATTTTCTTTTTTTTTGTCTTCATTTTTAACTTACTACAGTCAATTTTTTATTATTATTACATCGAGTTAATTTGAAAGAAGTTCAAAAGCTTTCATTTTTTTCATTGTTTCATTCATTTAATTAAAATATAAATTCATGTTTTCGCATCATTAAAACATTATAACAATGAAATAACGATTTCTTTTTCTAAAAACATATTTAAAGTTTTTTCGTTGCTAACGCTAATAGAACTTTTATCACTTTTTTAGCAAAAGTTAAACTTTTTTTTTTTCTCAAATAAATTTATAATTTTAATTAAGTTATAAATAATATAAGTTATAATTTTAATAACAAAAACTTTTTAAATTTAGTTAAATTTGGCCGAAAACATTTTTAATGCTCTAATTTATCAAATGACATTTGTTAATATTTAGAAAACAAGCCTTCCCAGGAAAGGCGTGCGGTTTTTCGTTTTGTACAACCACAAAAATGTTTTTTAAGTTAGAGAACGTAATCACAGCTGCTTGTGCAAGTTTTATTATATGCGTTGCTGAAAAATTGTTTTAAATTTAATGACTAATTTTTTTTTTTTTTAATTATCTTTGCTTCCAACAAGGCTGCAAGTAACAACTAATTAGTGTTGGAAGTTACTGGAAGAGAAAAGATGAAGATAGTAGAGCAAGATAACAATTGACAGATGACTTAAAAGATTGCAAATTATATGAATCAGGAAAGCAAGATGAAGGAAGCGAATCCCAAAGAACTGATGTTCGAGGAAAAAACTAGACGAATAAGAGTTTTTGGAGCACTTAGGAACAGTAACAGAAAAAGGATGAGACTTAATTGAATGACGAGTAACATGAGAATGAATTTTAGTAGATGGCACAAGAGACGCTAGCTCTTTCGAGCAGTGCCCATTATAGTATTTGTAGAAAAGAGAAAGAGAAGCAACATTACGACGATGTGACAGAGGTAGAAAGGTTGGCTGCAAGAGCAGGTTCAACTATGTTTACAATGCATTTTTGCACCTTGTCTAAAAGAGAAAGGGCATCATTAGAAGATCCGCCCCAGATATGGCAACAGTATACCATACAAAGCGGCATTTGAGATTTATAGAGATAGAGAATAGAATCCAGACTAAGAAAGTGACAAGCTCGATAAAGAGAAGCAACTTTAGCAGATGCTAATTTTGCAACAGATTTGATATAAAGTTTCCAAGAAAGATCAGAAGTAAGAGTTAATCCTAGAAGATGAAAGGTAGGAGACTCATCGAGTACATTACCGTTCATAAATATAGGAAGGTCTAAACTATTGCGATAACGATTGGCTGAAAACATTGAGTTTTATCTGAATTAAAGTTCACCAGCCACTGTGAGCCCCATGCTGTAGCAGAAGTGAGATCCTTTTCAAGCTCAGATGCCCCCTGCAAGCAATCAGAGGGAGTTGGCTTCCTATTGTGACAAGAATAAATGGTAGTATCATCAGTGAACAATGCCACCTTAGATGTGAGAATATCTGGAAGATTGTTAATGTAAATTAAAAAGAGTATAGGGCCAAGGATTGAACCTTAAAGAACCCCTAAGGTTACAGAATAAGAAGAAGAGTGCTGTCCATCAAGGACAACTTTTATACTACGATTGGAAAGAAAGGATTCAATAATCTTAAAGATGTTTCCAGATACACCATAAGAAGAAAGCTTATGGAGAAGACCAGCATGCCAAACTTTATCAAACGCTTTAGAAATGTCAAGAGCAATGGCCTTAACCTCTCCACATCTAATGCGCGATAAAACCTATCGGTTATTACTGATAGCAAATCAGCCGTAGAACGACAAGATCGAAATCCATATTGATGATCAGAAAGTAGGTTATGAGATTCTAGATTCGAGATTAAGTGTTTGTTAATTAAAAATTCAAAAACCTTGCTTATGATAGGAAGAAGACTAATGGGACGGTAGTTAGACGAATCGGATCGCTTTGCAGAATTTTTAAAAATAGGGATAACAGATGCTGCTTTCCAGCAGGCTGGAAAACAAGACTCTGATAAGCACTTGTTGAACAGTTTTGAAAGAATAGACGACAGCTCTGGAGAACACTTCTGCAAGACTATAACAGGTATGTTGTCTGGGCCGCAAGCTGTAGAAGAGACTAAGCGGTAAATTTCTTTAGATACAGAAGCTGGAGTGATACGAATGTCGAGCAATGGATCAACCTGTTTGATTGCTATATCAGGTAAAACGCAACTAGTGGCATCAAGAGATGATATTGATGAAAAGTTCTTGGCAAACAATTCAGCTTTGTCTTTATGTGAGGTGACAAAGTCACCTCACATAAAGACAAAGCTGATTCTGATGGTAAAGAAGAATGAGATAATAATTTTACAGAGACCAAACCATGAAAAGAAAAGGGGATTCTGATGGTAAAGAAGAATGAGATAATAATTTTAGAGAGACCAAACCATGATCAGAAGCACCTAAGGGTGAGTGTGAAGAAACTGAGCACTGACTAGGATCAGAAACAAGACATAAGTCGAGTAGAGAAGGTAAATGATTCGGGTTGTCTGGAAAGCGAGTTGGAAAGTTGACTATTTGAGTTAGGGATTGAGAAAGATAAAAGTTGTGGGCCTTAATGCCTGCAGAGTCACTGACACTAGAGCCAAGCCATTTAGTGTGATGAACATTACTTAAGAAATTAAAGTAAATTTAAATAGAAAACAATAATAATAGTTTAAATAATTTGTGTGTTGTTTTTATTTTTATTTTTTCTTAGTGGTTATTATTATCGGCAACAAAATTCAGTAAGTCAAGCAAAAAAAAAAAAAAAAATTTAATTTAGGTGTTAAAAAGGATGAATTTCCCATATTTTATGTGTTTTTTCTTTTGAAGAGGAAAGAGAAAATATGTATCGTCATCTGTTTGTAAAATATATTTGTATAATTATAATGTAACGAGTTTATATCAAGAGTTAAACTATATGATTGCCATTTGCAAACTATGGTAAAATATTAGGTCTTTAAAATTTTAGTTTATGCAAAGCTGTGTACTTTGTTTATAAAGAGTAAATTATTAAAAGTTCGCTGGGAGAAAGTTAAAATAAACTTACAACTTACAAAAACAATAAACTTACGACTACAAAAGTAATAACACTTTAGTCACTAACTGCATTATAAAAGTAATAAAACTATAATAGTGTTATTACATTTATAAAGCGCTTATTAGTTCATTCTTTGTTCAAACAACATTATTAATTCCAAACATATATTAAAATAGAAAAGCATCTAGAAAAAATAAAGCGGATATTCAAATATTATTAAAAATTTCAGGACCTTTCACAGATCACTTAAACAACGTTATAAAAAAGTACTTTATAAAAAGTATAGCATTATGAAAAATGTTACGTAAAAATGTGCATTAATTTTAAAATCAACCAATAAAAATATTTTATTGGTTAATTTTAAAATTAACGCCCCTTTTTAAGGTCCATTAGTATAGTTTTTCATAATGGTAAACTTTTAATACGATATGTTTTTATAAAGTTGTTTGTCACATTTTTATAAGTTATTTAAGTTTTAATATTATTTGAACATCCACTTTATTATTCTAGATATTTTTCTACTTCAAATAAAATTTGGGAATACTAATGTTGCTTGAACAAAGAATAAATTTTAAAAGTTATAAGTGGGTTATAAAAGTAATAACACTATTATAGTTATATTACTTTTGTAATGCAGTTAGTGACTAGAGTGTTATTACTTTTGTAATTGTAAGTTTATTGATTTATTTTTTATTTTTTCGCTAACAAATTTGATTCTCCCTTTAAAAATAAGGAACACGGTTTTGTATAAACTAAAATTTTGAATACTAGAAATTTTTCCAGATTTTGCATTTTGCATTTGCTTAATTCAACCCTTGTTGTTACATTAAAATTATACAAATAAATTTTACAAATTGCAATTTGTATTTTTCCTATCCTCTTAAAAAAAAATTAAAAAAAGGAAAATCATTCTTTTTATTGTAGACTTCAAACTGTTTTTTTTTGCTTCGCTTTTTATCTAATTTTGTAGCTGAATGTAACAACTACTCTAAAAAAACAAAAATAAATACAGTAAACAAATTATTTAAATTATTAATTTGTTTTTATTTTTTTTCTATTTCAATCTCTTTTTATTTTGTTAGCTTTGTTTTATTTCGTTTTTGAAACTTCAGCATTATTATAAAACTTGCAAATGGCTGTGATCAAGTTGTCTAAAATAATATACTCGCGTGTGGTCACACAAGACGAAAAACCGCACGCCTTTCCTGGTTAGTGATTATTTTATTTTTAACGATAAGCAAACTGTTCGGTTCAAAACACAATGTTTTTAGAAATATTTTTTTGAAATTAAATAAAAAATTATTATTATACATAAGGTTTTATTTAATTTTGTTAAATGTTTGCTAACGTCTAATCACCATTTATTTTTTGTATAAATTTGCGCTCTAATTTCAACAGAATGACGTAAGTTAACATGAAAAAATGTTTTTTAATTGAAGTATAACTTTAACATTTTAACTCAGTTGAAAAAACGCAATTAGAGATATGTAAATGGGGAATATTTTGTTTTTAACAATAAGCGAACTTTTTTAGTTAATTAAACAAGAATCTTTAACAAAAACCTTTTATAAAAAATTTTTAATGTAAAATCAAGTAAACCATAATTAGTTTCCTCCTTCCCATTATTTATATCAAATAATATTATCAATTTTCAATTGTAATAATATTTATATTTATGCATGTATAATATTTTTGCTGTTTGCAATTGTAATAATATTTATATTTATGCATGTATAATATGTTTGCTGACATTGTTTTAATTTTAAGATTTATATAAACAACAAAATTTGTAACTAATAATAAATTTAAGTAGATCCACTCTCTTATTTCTTTATTCATTTAGGAATTACCAATTCACAAAAAAAAAAAAAAGAAAAAAAAGAATAGATAAATGAAAAAGAAAAAATATGTAACAAAAATTTGTTAAAAAAGTATTAACAACAAGGAAATATTCAAAAAACAACAAAATGCTAATTTAAAAAAATATATCAAAAACCAAACCTCATAATATTTTTGTTGGTGAAAAAATGCTTTTTCGAATATTTCTAACGAGCAATAAGCTTCACCGACTTTGCGATGACCTACAGCAACACCTATTGCATCTCCTGATATTTCACTAAAATAAATTTCTTCTTCATGTTCAGTAATTGCATTGTAATAATCTCCTAAAAATATTATATTAAAATATATATATATATATATATACATATAAATATTATATATATATATATATATATATATATATATATATATATATATATATAATATATATATATATATATATATATATATATATATATATATATATATATATATATATATATGTGTGTATATATATATACACACACGCACAGTAGGGTGGAGTGAAAATAATATTTTTCAGAAATACAACTTTTCTCCCTGATTTTTATATTAGCTATAAGATAACTAAAAAAACGAGACCAAAATTCGACAAGAATTACCTCCTGCAGCAATTTTTACTACATACTATTGGTAGCGCAAATTTTACAATTTTTTTAAAAGTAGAAGTTACAAAGTTGAAACATATTATGTATTAGGGTGGAGTGAAAACAAATTTTTTTATAAAATTTGATTTTTCTCCAAAATTTCTAAAGTTATAATTATTATAAGAAAACTTGAAAATTGAGTATAAGATGAGTAAAATCGGACAAGAATTACTCCATGCAGCAACTTTTGGCTAAACTAGGAAAGTTTCCATATTTTAAATTTTTTATTCCAAATATTGATTTGTAGTATTCTTTTCAAAATTATTATTTCTAGTTTATTAACGTGTTATTTTAAAGGAGTTGAATTTATTACATAATTTTAACATACATAAAGCAAAGATATTACTAAACAGTGTTGTATTGTGCATTGGTGTTAATAATACTTTTTCTTGATTGCAGGTGGAGATGTATCATACCATCTCTTTTCATTTCTTCTCTAGCTCTCTGTATAAGTCTAATACCTAATTCTCAGATTTGTGGCTGCTCATCTGATATCATTGCCAGAAGAATTTTTTTTTACTTGATGACCAAAGAATCTGTTTGAATAACTTTGTCTACTACTTTACGTAATGCATCTGACAGATACCGTGACTTGAATATTGTGTTGCACAGATGCCTGCTGCCACAAAAATAGAAGACTCCTTCTTGATAATAAACCACATAGGGGCATAATTGCATAAAATGTATGTTGCTATAATTACTAAATTTGATGGAGACTTGGTGGTACAAATATATAATCTGGAAATCTTGTTGGCAGTGGTGAGCCATCTAGAATGAACCAGTTTTCTAGAACTACCCTTTTCCAGATTGACAGAACAAGTGCCACTTAGTACAGCTCAGCAGATGTCAAAAAGGTAAAGCTGATTTGTACTAAGCACTTTTCTGTTCACCTCTACATTATGGTTTATAGGTTGAAAATCAATAACTTTTAAGATCTCCCAAGTTTTAAGAGACTTTCTAATAGAACCTGAAGTTTTTAGAGTAATTTAGAATTTGAGATTTTATAGCTTCAGCTGCTCGGTTAAGAGGAATGCAGTGTTCCAAAAGGCCCCCACCAGGTTCCTGAATCAAGAATACGTGCTTTTCCATTACTATGGTTTTCTTCTTATTTAAAAATTTAAGGGTCTGGTCTTTTTTGCCATCAAAGTACAACGCCTTTACTTTGACTTTACTTTGAAAGAAAACATTCAAGTACAATAAAAGAGAAGGGAGAGCATTTACTTTGATGATGATAATGATGATGGAGTATTTTCACCTATAGAAAGCCATTTTAAAATACTGGGTGTAGCAGAAACAATAGAATTTAGTGACACTGCATCATTATGGTTTGAGCTCTGTTTCCTTTTGGTATTCTGCAGTTTTGCTGTAACTTCTTCATCAATCCAATACCCATTTTACATTCAATCCTTTGATCATCCAGAAAAGTATGCTCCATAGCTAGTACCATTTAAACTTTGGCACAGAAGCATTTTTTTAGATCTTTGCATTGGCAAGCAGATATTTCAAAGAGTTTACCTAGTTTGTCCTTATAGAACTGAAATTTATTATTTTTATTTTCTCTGTCAGCAATTGAAACATTTTGCAGCTTTTTGCTTTGCTCATATAGGTTATAAACTCTCTTTGTCAATGATGTAAATGATGACACAGTAGGTATGTTGCACTTTCCCCAAAATTTTTAAGACCTGCATTGCTGTTGAAGCTGCTTCATTTTTTTTGTTGGCTTTTCCAGGAAGTTTCTGTAAAATTTTATTATATACTTAACTTTATTGTTATTTGAAAAAATAATATGTAGTATAGTTTGCTTATATTTTCTTGCAAATACATCGTATGCTGCATCACATCTAGTCCTGTTGGTAGTTGCACGTTAGAGAGCGGTTTTGAAAATCCAAAAAATGGATGATCTGTTTTAGATCTTAACATTCTAATTACTGAAATATATTTAGCAGTTTTTAGTATATTATAGTATTATCATAGTATAAGTAAACATTCCAAAGTATCAAGCTCTGTATCGAAACATAACATGTCAACACAAACCATATTCGATTAATTAATATTCTTCAAAAATTTATTATGCATTATAACAAATTTATTGTTTAATTATCAATATTATTATTTACAAACAAAATATTTTTACTAACATTTAAAAATATGGTTTGTACTTCTAGTAAACTTCGAGTAAAGTATGCATTTTATTAAATTTTATGCTTAATATTCAATTTTTTCAATTGAAATATCTTTCTGTTCAATGTGCCTTAAAAAAAGGCACATTGAACAGAAAGTTTTCTCCGCTTTCAACTGTATCATATATTACTTCCATGAAGTCTAATGTTAAAACGCTAGTTGAACAGTCTATATATACTGTATTTACGGATGAATGTATCAATGCTTTATTAATCATGCATAATAACAGGTTGTTCCGCTTGGCTAATCATGCATATATCATTCTAAACCTAATAATAAGAAATATTTATAAACAAGACAATCAGTCAGTCATGTAACAAGTGCTTACACTGGGCATGATAGCACTATGAGATCTCATAGTCTTATTGTGTTGGACTTTAAGTTTTTAAACCTTGATCGCGGTCTTGTGAAAACTTTTAAAGTATTGGTTTTAAGTTGACATTTTTGATGACTTGGACTTCAAGCATTAAACAATATCATATATATATAAACAAACCATATATAATATATATACAAACCCATATATTACATATATATATATATATATATATATATATATATATATATATATATATATATATATACTGATAACGGAAATTATATTTAGTTGCGAAAAACTGGCCAGGTTTTTTAATCGTTTTGAGAACATTTAAGTTTATGTACGAAACAAAAAGTTTTTGTTTAACGAGCATACATAAAAAACTTTAATGCTCTTAAAACATCTTGGTACGAAAGAATAAAAAGAATATTTGCGAACACTAAAAACCCGCCAAATTAACGAACAAACTAATTTTATTGGTTCAAAAAATACGCTGACTAAGCGAAATAAAGTTCTAATCTGTTGAAATGTTTTAGAAATTGTATTATTCACGATTTGTTACGTTTTGAGATTTCTAGCATAAATTATTTTAAGAATATATATTATTTGTTTACAAAAATAAATGTTTTAAATATATATTAATTAAATTGTCAAAATTTTAAAAGTTTATTATAAATTATAGATTTTATTAGTATATTCTTATTTTTTATTTAAAAAGTATGTATTCTTTATGTAAATGTAATTTTGTGTATCTGTTTTTTATCGTAATGTATCTTTTAAAGCAATTTTTATGATTTAAACAAAGACTGACAAAAATAATTGCATTTTTAATGAAGTTATAATCATTAAAGTTAATAAAACTAATTATGTAACAAACATATAAAAAGTTTCTGGTTACTAAACACCAACAAGGCATACAAAGTAACTCGCGGATAAACAAGCACCGCGCCTGAGGTCACGACAGAACACAAATATATATAGCAAATAACTAGATATAAAGAAAAGTTTCTAGATATTGATTTACTAACTCTAATTATTCTTGCTTAAGTTGCCATTCTTAAAACTCGTCATACTTTTTTTCTGCTTTGAATACTAATTAAAATTAAAAAGCCCACTCACTAAACATCATCAGCGATATTGGGAAGCAGTTTCGCTTCCTCGTCATAAAGTTTTTTTAATCTTTTTAGTTGATTTCTACCTTGTTAATTTAATTTCTATAGTAATTCAATGATTTAAATATTCCATTTGTTTATCTTACTAAGAAGAATTGCTTCAATTATGTTAAACTTTTCAAACTACGTGAAACATAAAATAGGTATTAAAAAATAACTTTTTTATTTATAAAATAGTTTAGCTTAAATAAAACTAAAACTTGCAAACTTTGTTAAATAAAGAATATTTGTTTCCTTTTTAAACAATCGTAGGATGTTACTTGTTGTATTGTAAACAATTGTAGGATGTTATAAAAAAGATTGCTTAATTTTATGAAAAAAATTATAAAAGAGAGATGTTTCAAAAATATTTGTTTTAAACGTAATTTATTTAGCTTTAAGTTTTTTTGCGTTTAAAGATAATTTATTTGCCTAATTTTTTTTTTTTTGTAATTGTTTCTCATTGGTCCAATTAATCTTTGCGCTTTTTTTTTTTAAATG